TATAGACTAGACTATAGACTAGACTATAGACTAGACTATAGACTAGACTATAGACTAGACTATGACTAGACTATAGACTAGACTATAGACTAGACTATAGACTAGACTATAGACTAGACTATAGACTAGACTATAGACTAGACTATAGACTAGACTATAGACTAGACTATAGACTAGACTATAGACTAGACTATAGACTAGACTATAGACTAGACTATAGACTAGACTATAGACTAGACTTAGACTAGACTATAGACTAGACTATAGACTAGACTATAGACTAGACTATAGACTAGACTATAGACTAGACTATAGACTAGACTATAGACTAGACTATAGACTAGACTATAGACTAGACTATAGACTAGACTATAGACTAGACTATAGACTAGACTATAGACTAGACTATAGACTAGACTATAGACTAGACTATAGACTAGACTATAGACTAGACTATAGACTAGACTATAGACTAGACTATAGACTAGACTATAGACTAGACTATAGACTAGACTATAGACTAGACTATAGACTAGACTATAGACAAGACTATAGACTAGACTATAGACTAGACTATAGACTAGACTATAGACCAGACTATAGACTAGACTATAGACTAGACTATAGACTAGACTTAAAACTTTTTATGTAACCTCTGCAGATTCTGGTGCATGAAATATTTTGAAAAAAATAATATTTTTATATTTTGGCTTGAATTAAAGCTATTTTAAATATTCGTTAGTCTTTTGGAGCCATCCTAAAGTACACCTATTAAAACAAAAAATTTTAAACACAAAATATTTGAAACATTTAGTTTTTCTCATATTAATGAACTTTTTATAAAGCACGTGGTTGCGTGCCAAAATATTTCACTGAATACTTACAGCAATACACAAACATAAATACATGTATAAGTATTTATATATATGTATGTATGTTTGTCCACACTAAATATACAGAACTATGTATATGTATTTGCATGTGTATCAGGAGACATACACATGCCATAACTTCAACATGAAAAAGTGACGCATTAACCGCAAAGTAACTGCAGGATAAAAAAAACAAAAGCCAAAATGCTAAATACGAAATAATGTGAGGAAAAAATGCACGAATAACATAAACAAGAAAATTACAAACAAAAGATGCTTAGGGGCAACATGAAATATAGCAGCTGCAACAATGAACTACAAAATACACCAACAGAGTAAAACCAACGAAAAATACATAATGAAACAAAAGCCAATTGTACTTTGGAGAGTCATCAACTTTATCACATTTACGACCCGTAGAATTATAACTATTACAAACAACAATCAACTACTGCAGCTGATACGAAGGCAAATGTTGTATGTTGTCATTACAGACAACAATCCAGCAACTTCAACAAAGGGACAAAAATAAAAAAAAGAAAACTATTTGAACTCAGTTTGTATTGTAGACCACAAAGCTCAATTAAGTTGGTTTAAATGTTGCAAAGGGTGTAAATATTTACACACTTTAACCGCAATTTCACGTACGAAGTTCATCAATCTGCAAATGTGTAATAAATAAACATATGTGAATTGAAAATAAAATATTCTTTTAGAATAGTTTAATCCCAACATAATATTAAAAAGAAAATTTTAATGGAAATTGAGAAAGATTGTTTAAATCTGTAAAAAAATCTTGATTTAATTTTAATTGTTTAGAAATAATTTCTTTTAAGTTAAAGCAAATGTTTGAAATTTTTGTTCAAAATTATAAAAAAATTTAATTTTACATTATATACTCTTAGCATGATTAACCACCCTAACGTATGTGAAATATTCTAAATATTTCAAATTAAATATTACTCATACGTATAAATGTTTTGTTAGTTATTTTTATTTTATTACTTTTTCGACTGGTATTTTTCGGAACTAAAACTATAAAAATTAATTTCCCATTTATAATAAAATATTAAAAAAATAACAAAAATGTTATTTTACTGTAATGTTGTCACATTTAAATGTTTCGAACACACACATAACATTCATGACAATTTTAATTTATTAAACCATAAGCATGTGTATGAATAATTTTCATAATTGTTGTTAATTGTTAAGTTTAGTTCGTTTTGTATTTCCTTATGTAACAAGACATTAATTTTATTTGTATGACAGCCAAAAATATGTTCGTGTTATGTCAAAATATTTCCAAAAAAAAGTAAAAAGTTTTTTGTTTTTCTAATATTGTTAAAAAAACAAAAAAAGTTTGCATAATCAGTATATCAATAAATAGGAAATTGTCATTATTTTAGATAATGTAATGGATTGGGTTAAATTAATAATTAATATATAAATAAATAAATTTTTAAAGAGTTTTAATAGAAAAATAGTTTGTAGCTGAAACTGCCTATAATGAAACTTAAATTTAATTATTTTTAATTGTATTCCAGAAAAAAATTTTGTTAGTTGTAAAATTAGTTCTTGAACGCTACATTATAGCCTGTGCTCGTTTTAGTTTGACATTTCATTTAAATTGTCATCTTTGTAACTGTGGTTCTATTGAAGGTAAACACTCGTTCTGTAGAACTGCTCTGGAATTGATTCTTTAATCAATGATTTTTGTTAAAATTTGTCACTGCTAGCACTAGCTAACGTTAGAGAAGTTCTGGAACTAGTTCTTTAGAGTCTTTTTGGTCTTCAAAATGATTTCTAGTTGAGAGGTATATTATTTACGCGAAAATTTGGCCCATGATACATCCTAATGGACATAACAACAACAACAGTACATATGTATGTTTAAGAATGACATTTCATTTTAAAATGCTGATAATGACAGTTTATTATAAATTTCACAATAATGATTCAGCTCATTAATTGAAGCATGGATGCGAATAAGGGCGTAAAGACCACCTTTTCAAAATCGCGTTTTTTCGCATAATTATATTAAACTAACCTTTTTACATCTATTCATAAAAAAATAAATTGAAAAATATAAATTTTTCGCTAAAATAGATAGTTTTAAAAGCACGATTTTTAAATACTATTTATTTTTTTGAGTAAAAAATATTAGCAATTTAATGTATTTTTCTGTAAAAAATCGTATAAATTTTAATTCTAATTGCACCAAATTTGCAGAATGGTTGGAAAACATTTCAAATTTATTAATTTTTTAATTATATTGCAAAAATGATTATTATTGAATGAGTTATTTAAGTATGAAAGTGTGGACAAGAAGAAGGGCGTATATCCATAACTATAGTTATATTTTAAAAAAATTATTATATATACTTTCAACTAAAATATATGGATATATGCCCTTATTCCATTTTAGCAAAATTTCAAGTATTAATTTTGGCAAGTTGTGACTCGAATTTTTTACTGAGTTTTAGCACAGGGATAGATGTGAGTTATATGTATTTATGCATATATGTGAAAAAAGTAGGAAAAAATGCCGATTTTAAAGTTTTATGATGTTTTTATCGTCTCCTGTAAAATTTCTCAAATGGTTTATACGCCCTTATTCGGCTCCATGCTTCAATTTAGCTTTTATAAAAACAACTGGATTTCACAGCGTAAACTTAATATTAATTTGAATTTCAATATGTCCAAATAAATATTATTCATACGCAATGTTTAGGATTGAGCATGTTTTTGGTTTCAATTTAGGTTTGTTTTTGTGTTAAAAATAAAGAACTATGAACAATTTCATTAAATTTTATTTTTATGATTCTATGATAAAACAAGTGCTATATTCGGCTGTGTCGAATCTTATACATATATCTTTCACCGTTGTTTTTTTTTTACATTTATTACATACACATCTTTTTTAATCTTTCCAAAGAAATAATTTCATTCACGCCACTGACTGTGATAAACCAGAAAAACACGGTTAACGTGGTTTTCGTTTTCAATCGTTAACGAGCGACAACAACGTACTCACATACAATCAAACACAATCTCTGCATTGTTGTTGTTATCTTGCTTCTGAATGCAAAATATTCACTTTTTTGATGAAATGTTCAGAGGTTGTCTCGGTTTTTTACTTATATATTATTTATGGACGGATTATGCTGATTTTAAATAGGAAACTTCTCGAAAACATGTCTGACAGAATTATTGAAGATTTGGATCTCGATGATAACTGGGGTCTTCAGAAAACTGATTTCAACCGTCACACAGACGGACAGGCAGACAGACAGACAGACAGACAGACAGACAGACAGACAGACAGACAGACAGACAGACAGACAGATAGACAGACAGACAGACAGATTTGTCATATGTACTGAATTTAATTAACAGTATTTTGTCTCATTTTCAAAATGTCTGGTTGTTTTCTGCTGGTTAATTGATAACCAAAGGTTGAGATAATGGCTCCTTGAGAATTAAATTAATTTCAAGTGTTTAGATTCAAAAGCTTTAAGGGGTCAAATTTTCTTAAAAAATCCTAACTAACGTTTCGTACACCAACATCAGTCGTCCCACAATCACTATCAAAATCGGTTAAGTTGCAATTTTCAGGATATTTTGCTAAAATTTTTATCATAATGTACTTTTTGGTCCATTATTTTACCTAGCCTACATATAACAAGATCTCTCAAATAAGGATTTGGAGCTTTACTTGACTGTTGGCGATTAATAAAGAACCACAAATACCCAACCAACAAGACTAATTGATTTTCGTAATGAACGGGACTCATTTGTATCCAGCTTACATACAAAGTCCTCTCAGAAAATACTAGAATAATTTCAATGAAACATTCACATTGTATTTGAACTTTACTTAGTCGAAAGGATTTGTGAATTATATTAAAGAATTATTAGAATCTAATTTAATCAAAAACAACATCATAATTTTTTATAATTGGAAATTTATAACATATTTAAGTCCTGTCTGTAAAACATCAAAATCAAATTTTTTAACACAATGTCCTTTTTAAATGTCATACAAATAGTCCTGTCACAAGTGTATAATATTTTTCGGAAAATATAAATATATTTTAAAACAACAAGAATAAAATGTATACTTACGCTGCATTAACTGTGGTAATTTGTTTCTTTGGTTCCTGTAGAAACATCGCCAGATTGAAGGCCAGCCACAGGGTTATAATTCGTGACCTGGGCATAAATGTATCAAATTTACGATACAACATTGAATCACTCATGGTGGTAGTGGTTTGTTGTAGTTGTGTAGATGAGCTGGAGGGCTGGTAAATGTGAATGTATCTACGTAGAGGAGACGTATGATTTGTTTGGAACAACAACAACAAAAAAGTGATGCTGTTTTAAAAAAAAAGTAGTTTTCTTTTGTTGTTGTTGTTGAAGCTGTTGTAACGGCTGTTGCTGTAGTTGTTGTTGTTTTATAAGCGTCGGATGCTTTTAATGGTGATATGTCCTTAAAAAAATAATTATGCTCTAGTTGTAGTTGGTAGTTGCTTCTGTTGTTGTTTTCTATGTAGTGAGTGCAATAGTCTTAGTCTTGCGTTTGTTTTCTTGCACCTAGTTGTTGTTTTTATTGTTGTCGTTGAGTTGCTTTTTTCTGTTCTCTAGTTGTTCTACTTATTTACATGGAAACTATGTAAAAACAACAACAACCTTATCATTGTGTAGATGATTTTTATTGTTTGGAAACATTGTTCTATTTTTCAGTTTAAATTTCTATTTATTTTTCTGATTTAACTGTTGTAGTCTTTTTTTAGATACTAGTTTCTAATTAAGTGGAGATGCAAGTATTAACGTTTTAATTTTGTTGTTGTTGTTTTTTTCCTGCTGTTTTCAATGAAGAGAATTTATGTTGTTGTGTTTAGAATTAGAATTAGAATGGAGTGGTGTGGAGGTATTAAATATTCTCACTTTTGTTTGATTTGAATTGTTGCTTTTGTTTAAGTATCCCTGGACTTGGCTGTTGTTGTTGTTGTTTTACTGTTGGTTAGTATTTTTAGAATTTAGTATCTTTGTTTGCTTATGCAGATGTATTTTTATCTAGATACATATACATATATATATACGTTTATTAATATAAAAAAGTGTTTCTAAAAGTTATATTTAGTGTGACAGCTCAGTTATATTTTTTTATGTTTTTACACACATCCACACCTTTCTATTGTTGTTTTTATTTATACAACTCCTTTCAGATAGGCACTCTTTTTTTCTAAGTTATTGAAATGTAGGGTTTTTTACTCACTCATACATTGAGGGTTTAGTATTGTCTACATGTCATAAACACATACATACATATGTAGGTGTGTGTATAATTTACGTCTGTCTGTGTGAGTATGTGAGAATTTATTAAGTATATGTGTAACTCATGTGTGTTTGTAGTATGTGTAGGCGTAGGTGTGAGTCTGGGGATAATGAAAGAGTGCTCAATGTTTTTTTATCCTTTTTCTTTGTTTTACTTCAAATAAAGGCCGTGTGTTTGTGTTGTTGTTTATTCCTTTTTTTATGCAACAAAGGATATTTTTAATTATTTTATTACAGTCCAGTTGTTGAGTTTAATCATGCATGAATTTTGTTTTTATTTTAATAACAAGTATATTTTCCAAGGAAGTAGAGGGAAAAGGAAAACGTTACTTTTTACTTCAAACAATATGTTGAATCCCCTTTATGAAAACTGTTGCTAATTTTGCACACTTTTCACGTATGTTTAGGTTGTCTTTCGCTTTAGTAATAATGATGCCTTCGTGGTATTGTTGGACTTGGTTGAAATTACAGCTGTGTGTTTATGATTTTTAAGCATTCTTAATATTATTGAATTAGCTGCTTCTGCTGTTGTTGTTGGTAATGTATGCTTGAAATAACCGTCTATATCCTCATTAACAATAAATCACACTTTGTCACCTTAATTTCATTTGATTTAATGATATTTCATCGTTGTTGCCGTTGTTGTTATTGCAATAATTCTAATATTTCTTTGTTCCGCTGTTCTTGCTGACATTATCGCTGTAGCTGAACAACCTTCATCATCATGATTTTCAACAACACTAACATGCAACATTTTACACTAGATTTCTTTCTAAACTAATTTCAACAGCCAATAGGTTTTCAGTAATAGAGACATATGTTGTTGTTGATGTAATATATTTCCTTTTAAATGTTTAATTTGTATAATTTTGTTATAATGATCAACTCTTTTTTTTTTGTAACTTTTCATTAGTTTATATCAAGTAAACTTAGACATTTTTGTTATACATTGTTAATTCTTTTGTAAATTTTTGTTTATGCACTAAAATATTTTCCAAAACACTTTTCTTTAATACACATTTTTTTCCCTAAATTTTTGTTTACCTTTCATATACATAAATTCAACTTTCACTTTAAATTGTTATATTTAAATTTTTCACAATTTTCTACTTTTTTCCTTTCCTTTTTTGCATATTTATTGTGCCATTGTGTATGTGTGTTTTTTGGGATTTTTTCTTTGTTGATTTATTTTAAATTTGTGTACACACATTTTTGTTTAGGTTTATGCGCCATGAAGTATACTACGAACGTTAAGTATCAAAGTGCTTTAGGCACTGAGTTAAGGGTAAAAATATTACAGGAGCCTACTTTTGGAAGAAGGAAAACTGAACTCAACACAACTCGCCTTTTTCCAGTGCAGCGTTAGCAGCAGCATTGTGTCTGTAAAAATATAAAAACATTGTGCAGATTCCAGTACAAAGAGCGAGAGAGTGTTTTCTATTTTTCTTTTCGGGCTGTTACGCTCTTTGAAGGATACTTGTTTTTTCCTGTTTGCTTTTACCAAAAGTCTTTAAACTTTTTCACTGTTATGCAGGGACGAAAAACAAGAATAAAAAAATTGTTGTAAAATATGATGAAAATCACCTACAATGAATGGTATTGCCTTCGGATTTGTTTAAATTGCAGTTAAATGTTTAAAAGTTTGGCCTTATTTATGTGTTGTTTTGCAAAAGTCTAAACCCCGTATTCATAAAGATATTAATCGTTAATTTATTTATTTTAATAGATTAACTGTTATATAAAGAAGTTAAATTAATTATTGTATATTATAAAAAATTTAAAGTGAATAACTAACTAACTAACTAACTAACTAACTACAACTAACTAACTAACTAACTAACTAACTACTAACTAACTAACTAACTAACTAACTAACTACTAACTAACTAACTAACTAACTAACTAACTAACTAACTAACTACTAACTAACTAACTAACTAACTAACTAACTAACTAACTAACTAACTAACTAACTAACTAACTACTACTAACTAACTAACTAACTAACTAACTAACTAACTAACTAACTACTAACTACTAACTAACTACTAACTAACTAACTAACTAACTAACTAACTAACTAACTACTAACTACTAACTAACTAACTAACTAACTAACTAACTAACTAACTAACTAACTACTACTAAACTAACTAACTAACTAACTACTAACTAACTACTACTAACTAACTAACTAACTAACTAACTAACTACTAACTAACTAACTAACTAACTAACTAACTAACTAACTAACTAACTAACTAACTAACTAACTAACTACTAACTAACTAACTAACTAACTAACTAACTAACTAACTAACTACTAACTAACTAACTACTAACTAACTAACTAACTACTAACTAACTAACTAACTAACTAACTAACTAACTAACTAACTAACTACTAACTAACTAACTAACTAACTAACTAACTACTAACTAACTAACTAACTAACTAACTACTAACTAACTAACTAACTACTAACTAACTAACTAACTAACTAACTAACTAACTAACTAACTAACTAACTAACTAACTAACTAACTAACTAACTACTAACTAACTAACTAACTAACTAACTAACTAACTAACTAACTAACTAACTAACTAACTAACTAACTAACTAACTAACTAACTAACTAACTAACTAACTAACTAACTAACTAACTAACTAACTAACTAACTAACTAACTAACTAACTAACTAACTAACTAACTAACTAACTAACTAACTAACTAACTAACTAACTAACTAACTAACTAACTAACTAACTAACTAACTAACTACTAACTAACTAACTAACTAACTAACTAACTAACTAACTAACTAACTAACTAACTAACTAACTAACTAACTAACTAACTAACTAACTAACTAACTAACTAACTAACTAACTAACTAACTAACTAACTAACTAACTAACTAACTAACTAACTAACTAACTAACTAACTACTAACTAACTAACTAACTAACTAACTAACTAACTAACTAACTAACTAACTAACTAACTAACTAACTAACTAACTAACTAACTAACTAACTAACTAACTAACTAACTAACTAACTAACTAACTAACTAACTAACTAACTAACTAACTAACTAACTAACTAACTAACTAACTAACTACTAACTAACTAACTAACTAACACTAACTAACTAACTAACTAACCTAACTAACTACTAACTAACTAACTAAACTAACTACTAACTAACTAACTACTACTAACTAACTAACTAACTAACTAACTAACTAACTACTAACTACTAACTAACTAACTACTACTAACTAACTAACTAACTACTAACTAACTAACTAACTAACTAACTAACTAACTAACAACTAACTAACAAACTAACTAACTAACTAACTAACTAACTAAATAGTAACTATTCAAAATGGTTGGACGCATTTCAGATTAGAAATTGTTTAGTCAAACAAGAATACGTGAAATATCTTAGAACTTACAAGTACCAGTTTACTGTTGGCGAAGGGCCTCACAAGGAATTTATTTAAGTGAACTGAATGTCATCCGGGTGTTTTCCGATAAATTGCGAACGCTAAACCTACCGCTCATTACTACAAAACTGGCATATGGGTATTAGTTTTTACGTTTTCGACATATTTGAAATTTGATCTTTATAAACGACTTCAATATCAAATTTTTGATTATGCCAGTCTGGTAGTAAATGTTAAATATGTATAAGTAATTGCTTTCCTATATCTGTGTGAAATGTTATTTTAATTAGCCATATAAAAGTTGTTGTTTTATTTGTAAAATATGTTGATCCCTTCCTACTCTACTCAAAATTAAAGTAATAGATATTTCACTTTTATTTCTTTATAAGCTTTAATTGCGAATCCATGTACATGTGGCATTTGTAGGGAAATCAAATCGAAAGTTTAAATATTTTTTTTTTTAATTTAAATCTTTAAGTAAATATAGTTGAAAATCTAAAAATCTACTAAGTCGACTTAGCACACTTCAAAACTAAGCTACTGAATTTAATACACCCACCATCACCTATTAATATTTATGTATATAAAAATACATTTATAAGACCCTTTTTCTATATGTTTACATTCAAACGAATTTTTTATATATTTTTTTTAAATCTTTTGTTTGTTTTTTAACCTTTTTCTATAGACATGGCCATCTTTGTTGGTTTATAGAAAACAAAACAAAAAAAATTTGAAAAATAAAACAACAAAATGTGTGTATTTTGCTTTTTGTCTACTATATTTTTGGGTTTATTTTCTTTGCAAACTGTTTGTTTGCTATTTATTGCCAGTCTGCCTGTTTTTCTATTTTCCTTTTTTTGGATCATCTGTTTTTTTTTTCTATTTGTGAATATATTTTATTTGCCTAGGCTCTCTTTTTTGCAAAATCTCTCTCTTTTTATAAAAATTGTTAAGCTTTTTTTTGCTCCTGTTGTGTTTTTTTCTTCTTCTTCTGTTTCTGTTGAGTGTATGTGTGTGCTGATTTGACCAAGTTTTATTATGTTGGCTACTAGGAGGTATGTTGTTAATTGGTTGCATTGTACATTTTTGTTGTTGTTGTTGTTGCTTTCCTTTTGACATTTATTATTTCGTTTAGCCTTTTTTCTGTTGTGCTATAGTAAGGTTCAAGTGTTTGTTTGTATACATATGTATGTGTATTCATAAATGTGTGTTTGTTTGTGTATTGCTTTTTGTGGAAAAGTGTGTGTGTATATATTTTGTTAAATGTTTGAGTGTGTAAATCTATGTCTATTTCATTTTGTCATAGATTTAAATCAAAGTGACAAAGACTTTGTTTAACTTGCGTTTAATTTGTAACATTTTTATGTGTCTGCCATAAATGTGTGAATTTGGTTTTGGATTTTTTTATTATTAATTACTTATATAAAGGTCTTTGTGTAAATATGTTTTTTGGGTATTGTTTATTTATGTGAATTATTAAAATTGATTATTTATGAAACCTGGATTGTAAACCCCCAATGTGGGAGGATAATGAAAAGAATGGGTATTTTTAACAAGAAATTGTTTTGATCCAAAGTGGATTTAAAAGTCTTTCAAATTGTTCACAGAGTTAAATGTTATGAGTTCTAAAGATAGCTTTATTGTCAGTCAAAAAAGATAATTTTGTTATTCCAATGATACAAAAATTTTGTTGGTATTCCCAAGAGTATAAATTCTTGTTAGTTTCTTAGACGATCTAGATATCTTTTCATTTGTCTGTTGAAAACACAATAGTGTTTGAAAAGCAAGAACTGGAAGAATTTTCTCTTTAAAACAAAGTTGTAAGTCTTGTCATGAAAATCAAAAATATGAACATATATAAAATCAAAAAAACTTCATCTTCAAAATAAAGAATTAAAACCTGATTTTTTAAATTAGGCGTATACTTGATATTTGTAATATCAAGAAATCACTAACACGTATACGTACAGGTGTCCTTAATAAAAGCAGTGAAATTCCACAATGTAAAACATTTCCACTCAAAATTGAAAATTCAGATGAAGTTTTTTGATTTTATAAGTTTACAAGAGCTACAACTTTGCCTCAAAATTACACCGACATGCCCGTTAAAGAAATTGCACGACTTTGGACAAAACTGGGACACACAGGTCTTTTTTTTTTGCTCTTTTAACACGTAGTGGTGTCCGTATATATTTCCACGAATTAAAAATTAGCCTGCAATACAATAATGGGTTATGTAAAGAATGTTAAGAAGCTATCAAAACTAGTTTTGAAAAAGAAAGTGAACGTTTGCTGAAAAAAACTCTAAAAACGCAAAGAACCGATCGCCAAAAAATTGCATTTTTAATAGCCCTATACAAATACGACAAAAGCTTTCTAATGAAAATTTCTGTTTAAAACCCTATATGTACTCCTCAGAATAAGTCAAAGCTTTTTTGGACATTTTTAATACTTTTTTGATTATTTAAACTGTAATAAATCAAGTTAAAAAAACTAACAAGATCAGTTAAAGGAACATTATTTGGATCAAGTTTTTTACGAAAAACTTGCATAACTTTTATTATGTAATCCCAAATCAAGTGAGAATTTTGAAGCAGAACCCTCAATGTTTTTGCACCAATAAATTCAAAATTTATGGAAGCTAAGAGTAAACGAAAGAAATTTGGTCAAATATAAATTCTGAAAGAAATCCTTGAGATATGGGTTTCAAATAGACTTGATTTACTGACAAAAAGTTGTATAAAAGCTCAAAATTAGCCGTTTTAAAAAAATACTAAAATTAAATCTAAAATAGACTCATGTAAAAAATATGCAACTTTTCTTTTAAACTTAAATAAGTATAACAAAAAATTGTCTGTAAACCAAATTAATTAATATACATAAGACAAAAAAGTAACGACAAAAAAAATTCTATTAAAATCAAACAAACTAAATATTCAAGTATTAATAAAAATCTAAATTTGCATTTTACCCACAAATAGTACTTCAACCGCAACAAAAGGCTTGTCTTCAACAAGCAAACAAAAAAAGGGTAATTTAGACTTTATTGTTTTATGATATTAGTGGAAAAAGACTGGCATATTTTTATTATATATATATATTTTTTTTTTTCATTTTTCGCTACAGTCATTAAAATCCTAGTACATTTATGTCTGCAATTACACATATATACAAACAAGTATAAATACATATGTATGTATTCAGTGGATATATTCATTTAAACACAAATATATGGAGAGTAGTACAACTACATTATCAGCATGACTTTGGCGTTTTAGACAGCCAAACAGACGCGCACGCACCAGGCCAGGCATTGTAAAAATTTTTAGTTGAAAGCAAAAAAACACACACACACTCATATACAGAATAAATAAAATTAAGCAAGTATACAAAGTGAAAAGTGAAATATATGTATATTTGTAGGTATAACAAGTCAAGTTTGAATATATATATATATAATTTTTTTTCTTTTTTTTTTTTGTATAATTCTTTGTCATCAACAAAAATCACTGCACTGGTTTATAAATTTTAGTTAAATTTTTTTATTTAAATTCATAATTTTGTATATATTTCTTTAATTTTAATCAAATTTGTTGTTTTCTAATTTTTACAATAATCAAACAATACGAAAAAAATCTCTCTATACTATAGGTATAGGTGAAAATTTTTAGATATATACGATTATTTGTATATATGTATGAGTATAGGAATTTTTTTCTTTATTTAATTCGCATGTTATCCTTGCTACGCCTTGATTTTTTTTCACTTCATGTAAAAGAAAAATCACTTTTTATTTGCTTTTCACAATTTTCAATCATTGAATTTGAATTTACTTTTTTTGTTACTCCAATTATTTCTGTGATTTTGGAATTTTCTTGTAATTATATGTTGTGTTGTTTGATTTTTTTTTGGTAATTTATTAAAAAAATTTACTTAAAACTATTAAAATTTAGTTTAATTTTTTTCTATTTCTTTTACACAATTTATTAAATTTTTTATAATTTTTAGAACAATCCATAAGTGTAAAAAACAAGCGAGTATACAGAGACCGACTGCCCCAGAGCTTACATCACGAAGAAATTCAGGGTGCGACCAGAATTTCATTTTAGTTTGGAAAAACTTGGCTGAAAATGTTGAAACAGTTCGTGATTTTTCACGAAAAACGAGTAATGAAATCGAAATCCTGCGCAGCCTCGATTTGTACAAAAAGCAAAAACTTTTTCTTCCTTTTAAACAAACACACACACTTGCTAGCACACACCAACACTTGCTGGTATTGTTATGAATATTACAATGAACAGAAGAAAAAAGTCGTTCACAAGTTGTTTGGAGTTGTCTTTCCAGCCTGCCAGCTTGTCTAACTGCCTGACAGCGTTGGTAGTGGTGTAGAAAAGTGTAAAGAGAATAAGAAGAACAAGAAGCCTTCGCCTTCAAGTTAATGCAAAGTGTGCAAGGACTATGTTAGTAGAGTATTTAGTATCTATACATTCACAAACATACCTATACACAAGTGGTTACTTACTTGTGTGGTGGCTTTGCTGTTCATGTATTTGTAGAGCAATATTACTCTCTTTGAATTCTGTTTGCATATTGTATGTTTGTGTGTGTGCTGTTGCCTTAATTTTTGGCTGCCACATACTTCTATTGAGGTGGGTTCAGTTTCTGCGTACAGAATATTTGATTAGGGAACACTTTCCAAAATTTAAGCTAAAAAAAAAAACTCATGCTCGTAACAAAATTACACATAAATATAAATCAGCAAAATAGCCAGGAGTACATACACATACTACATACAAATAAACAAACAACCATGTCAATGACAGGGACACTACGTATTTATGTATAAATATGTGTGTGTATTTGAGCGTATTTTAGTGGTATTGCAATTTGTGTTTTTATTTCGAATTTTTCTTTGGTATTTTTGAATATGGTTTTGAAGTAGCATCTAGTAAATGTTTGTTTACTTCATCAACAACTTTATTATAGAAAGTTAAATTTGTTTTATTGTAGCCGAGAAAAATGAGAGACCAGTTTTCATTTTATTTGCTAGAAGCATCGTTAAATGTCACCAAATAAGTCGTAACTCATAATTTGCTTAAAATTATGTTGTAGCATTTGGAAGACAAAAGACAAGATTATGTTGTAGATTTTTTTAAAGCAGTTTATTATAGTGTAGAAACGGGAAATTTCGTATAAAGTTATCATTATAGAAAAGGGGTGTGTTTTGTTTATGTTTATTTTTGTGGGAAATTTATGTAGCTGAAATAATGTTACTCAAAATTTATTAAGATTTTTTTGTAAACATTTTTATTTGTCAAATTCAAATATTTACTATTATTTACTAAAAATCCATTCGCTTTTTACTAAAAATCTAAATTATTGCTAAAAATCCAAATTTTTACTAAAAATCAATTTGTTATTAAATTTTTTACTAAAATTCTACTTTTTTTACTAAAAATCCATTTGTTACTAAAAAGTAAATTTTTTACCCAAAAATATTTTTTTTTTACTAAAAATCCATCTTTTTCAAAAAATACAATTTTTTGTTAAAAATATTATTTTACTAAATTTTTTTTCAATTCTGTAAAAATTTAAATAATTTATTAAAAATTTTTTCTTAAATCCAGTATAATTCCCAAAGTGTTGAGATGTTATAAATACTTCGACTAAGGCTTGGCAATAGAAAATAAATTTCCTGTATTTGACGCTCGTCCGGCGTTCAAGATATATATCATCAGACTAAACTTGGACTAGCTTCCACTGAGAGACTACTTGTTACATGACTTTAGTGGGATTTGTGCTAATATTTGTAACGCATAGAATTAATGGTCTTATAAAATATAGCAATTAGCTCAGAATCATTTTCTGAGTCGATTAAGTAATATCCGTCCATACGTCTGTCTTCCCTCCAAGGCGTATTACCTTGTTGAAGTCTCTATCTTGGTGTTATTGCAATATCCCGGGAAAAAGAGGTACTACCAATTCCTCTAGTCTGCCGGGACTATAAATTGATAGTGATCAAATGTACCCCGGCCTTTCCTTGGAGTGATTCTGGCTGGTTAGTTGGTTGAGGTTCCTTTGGGATCCATGTATTGGCTGTGGCTTAAATCCAAATTCGCGGGGAGAGAATGTTGGTTTAAGGACTGATATATCCTATGCCATATATGTATGTCTGGATTATCTCTCCGGGGCTGTTGCCATCTCAACAGCTGTCATTGGGTGATGTGACAGAGCAACTTATGCTGAATTCCTGAACCCATTGAGTGTCTCTTATTCTTCGCATAATAGGGCGCCAGTACAGGTTGGGGAATTTTCAGGTACCTGTACTGATCGTTCTTTATGGTCTGAGAATGAAACTGATGTAATTGGTGAACGATTGGTAAAGACCCCTCTGCCCTACAGGAAACTAGTACTGATGTAGTAGACATTTTACTTCAGTGAAGTTCTCTGTGCTGTTGCCATCTCAACAGGATTCATATTGTTTCATGCTACGCGACTTATGGTTGAGGTTCGTTCTTACAACTTGGCGGGGCAATTATTGGGTTCGAATTAACTTTTTCTACATCCTTTGTCACATTATCTGACATACAGAGGGATACTGATTTATTGGCTGGGTATTTCGAACTACCAAATATGTCTCTAGGTGCTGTTGCTGAATCAACAAGGCCATCTCAGTAGTGTGGTTGCGCGGGCTTTAAAAGGTTAAGGAATGTACTGGAATGGGTCATTATTAGATGGAGATTACATTTTAAATAATGCAATCTTTCATGACATCATAAGAGTGGTTAACTTCCGGTATACCGGAAGATTGATTTCACCTGAAGTCTATTGACTTTATACCAGTGATCGCTCTTTTCTTGTCGGAGTTTGCATTGGGATTGATGCAATGCTGCCTGTCATTCCGCAACGGGGCTATTATGGCAAGAGATTAGATAGCTCAAGTACTTCAGCAAAGTGCTTGTACATGGTCCGGCACAGCCATGTACCTGAGTTCTTCATAGAAGGATTCAGCTGAGTTCTTCATAGAAGGATTCAGCTGAGTTCTTCATAGAAGGATTCAGCTGAGTTCTTCATAGAAGGATTAAGCTGAGTTCTTCATAAAGGATTCAGGGGCGTGTGGTAAACCGTCTCAAGTCTACCCAGTGGATAAAAAGACCACTTAGACATCTTGTCTGTCTGTCAAAAATTTTATTAGGATCGGTTCATATTTGACCCTGGCCCCCATATATACCCTTTTCCAGAAAAGCAGAATTTAATCAAAAATATAACGAAATTAAGGCAAACTTCAACATAAATGCTTCATTGTTTAAGTAATGCCAATTTAAGATATATTCATATGGTTGACCATGCCCGACTTTCTTACTTTTTCTATTTTCGTTTGAGTTAAATCATAAGATTGTTGTTGTCTTGCTCCCTGTTCCATGTTATTGAGTGCTCTCTTTGGCTTTGCATTTGTCAGCTTAACTTCTTAAGTTCCCTGCCCTTGATAGAACTTGAATTAGCTCTTTTATTGAGAATTATCCCCAAATATGATGCCACCAGAAAGAATTTAGTTATGGATTTTTCAAGTCCGTCTTAAACTTATAATTTTCAACTGATAATGCCTTTATTGCCTTTTAGCTGTAAGAATAATAAAATATTAATGAAGCGTAAGAGTTTGGGTTTTGTTGAAAGTTTTGAAATTACTAACTAATTTACTTTATTAATTGTTTAATGTTTGCTTAACTTTAAATTTTATAAAATCTATTTAAATTTGTGTAATGAGCTGGGAATAAAACTTTCTTTCAATTAAACTTTTTTAAAATGAAAGTTGTTTAAAACAGCATAATTATTTAGATTATTTAAATATTTAAATTTCATTTTAAAGACTATTAAATATTTGTTCAAGCACAAAAATCTCTTTAAATATGTGACTAGTGAAAAAAACACAATTATTTAATTATAATTTACGACAAAAAATTAAAGCGTTGAGTGTATGTGTTTACGTAAATATTTTTCCATAAAATATAAAAAATTTCCGTTTTACATTTCCCGAACTAATTACTTAATGTTTAAATATTATTTTCTTTTTTACTGTTGCTTTCACACTGCTACTTTTGGATTTCCTTATCGAAAATACAAATCAGCATAAAAATTCATTTGGAAAATTGGCAACTGTATACAAATATAAGCACACACACACTGTGAAAACATAATTCCTTTCATATAAATAAATGGTGTAAGTAAATGGTGTGTTTGTATGTATGCAAACAAACATCAATACATTTATATTTACATACAAGCATACATACATATGTATGTCATGAATGTGGCCATAATAGTGGCAATAAATGAATTTAATGCTAATCATCGATTTGTATAAATTATTCCTAATTTCAAATTCTTAAATAGAAACGATTCAACAAAATTGTACTTCTTTTTTTGCTTATACTCCCTTCTTTATGTGGTATTTTTGTGGCAGATTTTTCAATATTTCTATTTTTATTCTCCAATAATCCTGCTGCTTTAATCACACACAACTGTGTACATATTTATTACATTTTATTTTTGGTTGTAGTTTTAATTCGTTACAAATCCTGTTCATACAAATTCCAATCCTCCTCTAAACTGGCATTTCATACGATAACAAATTCAAATAAAAATGGGTATGAACCAAAATAAATCGAATAAAAAGAAGAAAAGTACCAAAATACGTATATGTACTTGGGGGTTCCAATAAAGCCAACGAAAGGTGCTGTTTGCTTGGCTGATTTTTTTTTCATGAATGGAAATTTTATAGAAGAAAAATTAAAATAATACTTGTATATTTTGTAGAGGAAAAAATTAAAGAAAAATAATTGTAAAAACCATTACAAAAAAGGTTACAGATAACACATCTTGGCATACGCCGCCATTGTATATGTATCTGAAATTTATGTAACCTATCAGCAAATTAAGTTTACTAAAGCGTTTGTAACATCTGCTCATAACATTAAACTGTATAAAGCAAATTATTTATCATTTCACATTCATTGTAAATATTTGATAATAAATTATCTCTTGTTATATTAAAATTTTAAGATG